ATCGCGAACCGGTCAACCTACTTGTGATTACTATGACAAACCGAACTACACAAGGGACAAGTGTTGGAAGTTTCACGGTAGGTCAGCTTACAAACCTTCGGCCAAATCCTCTGGTACCAAGGATCTCACGACGACGGCCGAACCTACCACGGCTCAACTGACTCCTACTTGGAACATCTTAGAATCCTTCGAATCAATGGAAAGTCAGATGGAGCAATTGATCAAGCTTCTTGAAGCCAAACAAGTTTCTACGGGTACGTCAACCTCCTACTTTTGATAAGGTGCTCTTTCAATGACTCACAGTTTATTCATCCTCTAGTCCATGGATTATTGATTCAGGAGCCACGAATCACATGATTGGATGCTCGCAAGCTTTCTCAACTTACTATCCTTGTTATGGACAAGATACAGTCAAAATTTTTTATGGTTCCTATAGTTTTATTGCTGGTAAAGGTTTGATAATAATAACAACTGATCTAACTCTGAAGTCTATTTTACATGTTCCCTATCATCAAGCTGACGAATGATGTTGATTTCGTTGCTAATTTTTTTTTCTGATGATTATGTTTTTCATAATCGTTGTTCAAGGAGGATGATTGGAACTGTTAAAAGAGTAGCCAGACTCTAGTACTTCCAAGAAAAGAGCATTGAAAGTGCGGACACACTTTCAGGAGTTGTAGTTTATCTCGAGTCATTGAATGTACTATTAAGTTGTTGCAATATTCTTTAGGTCATCCTAGTTTCCAATATTTAAAAATTTTGTATCTTTTGATATTTTCTAATAAATTTGTACCTTTTGATGTCTCTCACTCTTGGCTTTGACTCTACTGCCTCTAGAGAGCAAGTGTACAGGCTGTGAAAGTCTCTCTATGGGCTAAAGCAGTCCCTTCATTAAAAGAGCCTGGTTCAGCAAGTTCACAAAGTTTGTCATGGGCCACAATTTTACTCAGGCTTAATCGGATCACACTCTCTTCTTTCGGCATTCTATATCATAGCATTCCTCCAAAAGCTAGGTAGCTATCCTTATTGTTTTTGTTGATAATCTTATTCTTATATATAACGATCTCCCAGCATCATAGTCCTTGAAAGACATTCTTGCTAAGTCCTTTGAAATGAAAGACTTAGAATCTCTCTGGTACTTCTTAGGCATGAAAGTAGTTAGATCAACTCGATACATGGGCTATCTCAGCGCAGATATGTGGTTGATCTATTGATAGAGAACAACCTTTATTAGTACAAATCAGTGCTTGTCCCTATGGATCACAATGAAAAATTATTTGATATTCTATTGTTGTGACTTTCAACAAGACTCACTGTCAGCGCCTTGTAAGAAAATTTATCTACCTCACCCTCACTCGCCCCAACATATGCCACGCAGTTGGTATAATGAGTCAATTCATGCATGACCCTTATGACCCTTATGAGCACCATATCTCCAAGCTGTCCACTGGATTTTTCACTATTTAAAAGGTTTATCGAGCTCAGATTTGTTTTTCTCTCGTCACGCATCTCGGTCTATTGTTGCTTATAAAGATGTTGATTGGGTTAGGTCGATTCATGACAAATGTTTCACCTCGGGGATATTGATCATTTGTATGGGAAAATCTGGTCACAGAAAAAACAAAAAAAAATAGTCTTGGTTGCTCAGAGCAGTGTTGAAGTTGAATTCCGGTCCATGTCCTCGGGGATCTGTGAAGCCCTATGGTTACACATCATGTTCCGTGAACTTTGTATGCCAACCTCCATCTCAATGCAACTATTTTATGATAATAAAACCCCCATTAACATGCATATAATCCAGTCCAACATGATCATACCAAACATATGGAGATTGACAGACACTTAATTAAGAAAAAGATCGAGTCTGGAGAAACTTGTGTTCCTTTTGTGCATCCAGTGGACAACTAGCGGATATCCTCACCAAAAAACTTTCTCAACCTTTGTTTGATGACTTCAAATTCAAGTTAAACATGATTGACAACTATGCTTCAACTTGAGGGGGACTATTACATTTAAGACAAATCCCTAGCCGTTATTACTTATTATTTCTTTCATATTAGTTTTTATTCCCTCATTATGTATTTCTTTTTTACTTTATTCAGTTTTATTTCTTTCCTATTTGGTCTATTTTGTTTTATTTTTTTTTTTGTTTTGACTAAAGTAATTGGGTTTAAATACCGCTTCTCCTTTCAATAAAATCAAGAATTCTCAACAATATATATATAAATACATATATATATATATATATA